CGCAACACAAGCATCCGTCATCAGGTGGGAATGCATGGTCTGCTGCTGAGGCAGACGTCGTGATTTATTTCATCTATTGACGGACGCTTGTGTTGTGCCCGAAACGTCGTGATTTATTTAATTTTCTACCTACGTGACTTTACCGAAAGAACCAAAGAGTGTAGATTCCTGCAGTCGCCAAAGCTTCGAATCAACGTTTGTCCTATTCTGGCCAGTGAGAAGTTGACTCTTTGTGGGGAGAAACTGGAGAACCTGGAAAAAACTAACCACGTGTTCAATGGGGTGACACTCAGCACCGCCATCTCCTGACTACGGCTGGCAGCCGCATGCCTACGACACCTGACCAGCCCTGCTGAACACACATCCAAGTACTCACCAGGTCCAATCCTGATCCACTTCACTTTCAAGATCTGACTAAGTCAGGTGGATTTAAGGTGGTTTATATGGGGTAATCATATAATGGGATTTGTGCATAGATTTTAAGTGTTTAACAGCGTGTAATGTAACGTGCAGCTTTTGTCAGTCCACTGCTGGATGAAGGCCTCCGCATGTTGTGTCAGATATGGGAGTTGATTGACTATACTTCACCATCCAGGTGAAAGGTGAGCGAGTGTGCAGTTAATATCTTGTAAACCACAACTTTTCTCGAAATATGACATGTTAAAACATGTTTTAATGTATATATATTTAACTCACCGTGTTCATCCTCATTATCAACACTGCCTCATAACAGGCAACATATATTCTTTATAATAAGCCAAAGTTTTGGGTAATGGTCCTGCTAAGGAGTGTCTGCATTGTATTGAATTGTAGAGGTGTCTATGTGTACACAAGATCCATTGTACAAACTGTTACGGTGTATATTTTTCCATCATGAGGGACGTGAAATTACTCAATTCAACTTATGACAGGGATCATATATGTTTCAGCGTTTAACATATATATGTATAGGCAATGTGGAAAAGTTTGGTTGACCCTGCGCTGTGAGTGAAATCAATCAACCTCCAGGCCATAATTGTTGAGGGCCCAAATCACTAGAATTTACCTTTTTCTAGTGTTTTAGCTATTCGCTTAGACTCTACTATATTTGTATAACAATAGGTGTAACCCTTTATGGCAATAAACTAGAGTTAGGATGTTAAAACACCAAACATAATCCTTTTTTAAGGAATCATGTCTGCATTAACCACATACTTGTAGTGAACATGCAAACGAAAAACATGCTCCGATAATATTTGCACTGTCTTTGAAACTGATTGGTCAGCTGTCTCTGGTGTGGACCAATCAGTTTAAAAAAGCATTCTGTTTGGTATTTTAACATCTTAACACGTTGTTTTATTGCCAGAAAGGGTAAAACCTATTGTTATATTTTGATACCGGCAATAAAGATCCCATATTTTTATTATACTATATTTGTGTCAAAGTTACGCTTTTTATCCCAGAACATTATTCAAATTCATTCACTCACTCGGCTACGATCATGAAGATGTAATAAATGTGTTTCAGATATTCTCGATACAGTCGGGGCTTAATATCTCACTCAGTATTTTCCTGAACACTGCCAGGCTGGCTTGGAGTAGATTATCGGAGTGAGGCATTACCACTCGAGTCGATGCGATGCCTACCCATAAACAAACCCATATTATTGTGCCACGTATTCCTAGAATCCTATGAACCGGCATATACAAATTAGATGAATGGACTCGAGATAGACGTGGCGTGTCTGACTCTCTGAACTGCAATTCCGCATCGGAAACAACTCTGGGACAGGTAACTGAAGATTGAGTTCGCTACGAGGAGACGCAATCCCAAATGACTCATCGTACGTGGTGTGCGCGACATGTTGCGGCAAGATGTTAACTACCTTGCCTGGTATACACAAGGTCGTGGGTTCGATCCTGAACCCCTGACGCCTGTATATTTTGAAGTTTGCATGTTCTCTCCCCCCTTGGTCGCGTGGATTCTTCTCCGGGACCCCCGGTTTTCCCCTCCACATTTAGAATCAACGCGCGTTTCGAGTATTTGGCTGTGATGGATTTACACGCGATAAGCCACTTTCGTTGAGCTATCATTTGTGGCCAGGTCGCTTCTGAAAAAGGGCCTATATCAGCACGGTTGGCTGCGTACGATATGAAAAGAGTTCAATCTTTCAACTTTCTTTCGTACGGCTGATGTAGAAGATGCAGAACATCAACTACAATTTCACATCAAGGTGGGGTCAAGCCAGACAACCGCGTCGTGAACAGCGGAGTCGTGTATCGCTGTGGTGATGTCTCCTTCGTTTTTGTCGACCGGGCATTGCGTCGTCACGTGTTCTCCAGTCTCTTCTGGATGACCCACACTCGCACTACTACTGGACAGTTTTTGTTTTCGTTTTCCATTTGTGCATCGGGTATCCGCATCTACCACGGTCCGTACGGGGATGCGGTTTAGAGAGAACCCCCGTTTAAAAGAAAAGTTAAACGGTAAATAGCGTCGCTGTTAACGTGATGATGACGGTCGAGCATCCATCCCCCCTATCCTCCTCCTCCCCACGACGACTTGACGCCGAGCCGAACGGCGGTCACGCCCGCGGGGTCACGCCCGTCGTGACCCCGAGTGGCGCTTTTGTCCCAACGTCAGGAGACAGTTTTTTCGAGGGCGGCCTATATTGTGTGTATCACTGGCGAGGCGGCGCATTGAAATGAAGGCGGGCGGGTGTCTGGGTAACGCAGACGCGGCACACTTAATTAGTGCAATGGAAAGAGGATCAAGGATGGATTAAAGCGTGGTACACTAATCTCCTGTCAACCAGATAAGCTGTATCATGGTCAATATGCAGCTGCGTCCGTTGCCCTTTGAGAGTCTGTTCGTATTGACACACACACACATATATATGTTCCTGGAGTTATATTATTGCCTTAAGTTGAGCCACAAATGTATTTGGTTAAGTGGTAACTCATGTCTCTCTCGCGTGCCAGACACTCATCTCCTGTTCACCAGATTAAAGTTGTAACATGATCCAACATGCATCTGGGTCCATTGCATTTGAGATGTATACTCTATGCGTGTGTATGTAACAAATATCATATTATGGCCTTCAGGTGACTGCCAAATTGCCTTCTTATCGCCCTGGTAACGAAGGTTCCTCCATTCACACAAAATGTTTTTTTTTGTTTCAGCGCGTATGACGAGTTTAGGCGTAATACACGTGTAATTATTGGTCACATTGCAGAAGGCTTTCCTGATGTACGTGAAAAAATTGCAGTCAGGCAAATGTCAATGTGGAAGGCGTTTAAATGCTGCTTGTGAGCCGGTTTTAAAATAGCTGATGCCTGTGTCTTGTCAAGTCAGTGCAACGTTTGTGTGAACTGCTGAACTCACTGCACCAGGACAACACACAATGCAATGCACGAATATCTTTTTAAAAAGTGTTACTTTTGTTTAACACGTAGGCTTTCGCGACCAATGTTATTCATAATCAACGATTTTTGGGTTTAGATCGCGTTTAATTATAAATGTGTCGTAACCCTCCACCACCCGACACGGCCAATCAGTAAAAATGTGTCACGTTGACAAAGACAAATAGTTCACTGCTTTAGCCCACCGGTGTGTTGAAGCAACAACATTTACTCAAATTGTAAATGTTGTTGCTTCAACACACCGGTGGGCTAAAGCAGTGAACTATTTGTCTTTGTCAACGTGACACATTTTTACTGATTGGCCGTGTCGGGTGGTGGAGGGTTACGACACATTTATAAATAAACGCGATCTAAACCCAAAAATCGTTGATTATGAGTGTTACTTTTAATACAAATTCGCTTATTTAGTCACGCACTTTTTTGATCTGCTAAAATGTTCGTCCGTCACTCATTTACTTCTAATAGGTAACTATTCACAGTAAAATGTAAAAGCCGTTCATCAGTAAATATTTTTAAAGTGTATTTCTCATCAGGCCTCCTGGTGTCGGGTACAGTCTCCGATTCTTATCCACTCTATCTTTCAGGCCTCCTTTTTGTTCTAGATTTGAAGCTTTCGTGACTGCAAGGATTCATACTCTTAGCTTTTTCGGTAAAGTCACGTAGGTAAAAAATGTAATTAAAATTAATTAAAATAAAATAATAAAAATCACGACGTTTCGGAGGCAACACAAGTCTCAGTCATCAGGTGGGACCGTCACAGCCAGATTTGCTGCATCAAGTGAGGCAGGGATTCCAAGATGCAAGTTCTTAAATACAAGTTAAGGGGGAGGAGAGGAGGGGGGGGGGGCTTATCAGAATGTGGTAGCCAATGAATGGAACGTATCGAGAGGGGAGGGCGGGGCTAAAAGAGAACAGCCATTACCCAATACTGTTGTTTAATATATTTCCCACCCCTTTGAAGGTCATGGTGTTATGAACGAACGTGTTGAGTTTTATGTTATTCGTGCACCACTGCCAACGCAGCAGCAGCAGCATGCGCCAATTATTTGTTGCAATCTCTGGGTGCCCCATTCGGCGCTTGTGTGCGACACGCTATCACCACACTGTCGCATTGTGAGGCCACCACGAAGTTTGGGCAGAGCTCACCGTGAGGCATGCAACTCAGCTCGTGATCTTTGACCTAAACCATTGAGAAAACACGGGGCTAACACTTCGATTTAAAGCTTTCGTGACTGCAGGGATTCATCTTCTTGGTTCTTTCGGTAAAGTCACGTAGAAGGGAAATAATAAAATAATAAAAATAAAACATAATAAAATAATTCTCACGACGTTTCGGCCACAACGCAAGCAGCCGTCCTCACGTGACTTTACCGAAAGATCCAAGAAAAAAAAAGGGCAATTTCTAATCTAAACACACTTTAGCCTTGCTCCGAAGGGATGTGTTATATCTAGCTTCTATATTGTGTAAGAATGTACTGTCTAAAAGATATACTGAGGCAAATTTGAATGTGGTTCAGTAGCTGGTTATCTGAGTCAATGTGATCCCCTCAAAGGAAAGACCAAGTTACATTCAATTGTTCATGTTTTCTCATTTTTCAGGTGCTGGAGAGTCTGGGAAGAGCACCATCGTTAAGCAGATGAAGTAAGTTTTGAGCCTTTAAAAGAGCTGCCTCTCAACTGAAGACAACTTGAACATACTCAAGTGCTTATGGACTGAACTATATTTAAAATAATCTCACGAAGTTGTAAAAAAACATCTGAATAGGATTCTGCAGCGGTGGGCTTACACGGCTATGAATTTCTAATTTCTGTGAATGTCACATTGATTTTATGAACTTAAGCTAACCTGCAAAAAAACATACTACAAGCAGGGTCATGGAATTTAAGCTTTATGCCTGATAAAAAACGCTAAAGTTAGTTCCATCCAGAAAAATACGACACGAGAGAAAACACATACAGAAGCAGAACGCATGCCTGTGTCTCCGCATATAACAAAAAATATGTATTTGCCCATCGGCCTATTGGCTTTCAAGACAAATATTATGCAGCAGCATTTGTTAAAGCAAGTACACTCCGGACCTGTTTCGATCTTCTCGGTCTCATCAGCCGAGGACTCGAGCGTCTTAAACGAATGCTGCCGTGTTCCCAGATGTTGTTGGTAAAGAGCATCCATTGAAGCTATGGGCCTGTTCAACGCAAGATGCGCGAGAGGCTGTTTCCCTTACACATTACAATTCTAGAGCACATTGTATTCCAGCATTGAATAGGTTAAAACGTTCAGGCTCTGACGAATCATCCTTCCATCATTACCGCTCCCTCCGCCACCCCACCACCCTCATTCCATCTCTACCCCACACTCTAAGACCTTCCCAGCCCCTTCCTGTAATCCGAAAGTGTCACCCCGGTTGCCCTCTCCGGTGTCATTTCTTTTGGACGTTGTTCCACCTTAATTTTCTGGGGGATAAATTGGACAGCGAATTACGTTTGTCAGACCGCTTTGTCCTCTTTTCTCGAATTTGTCGAATCTGAAAGCATTGTGGCCGGATTAAAGCACCGGGGGCCACGGCCCCCCCCCCCCCCCCCCCGTTTTTGCTGGCATCGCAGATTCGGGCGACAGCTTGATGGCAAGGATGCTCTCTGACATTCCCATCCACCATCCGTTTACACGCCTGTTTGTCTTCGTGAAAACAACAACAATAACAACAACGCCACCCATTCAATTTCCTTCAGCGTGGGACGTAATGAAAGCAACAGCAGCAAAAAAAGGTTTCGGTGGGGTCATGAGACAAATTGGCGAATACATCGGGGGAAAAAAATCGAGGGGGGATACGAACCGTGTATCCACCATTGACACCTGAGGCACGGATATGGGTGCCGTTGAAAAATAAAAATGTGCACATCGCTTTCGGTATGAATTTTTTTTTCACTTAAAGCGCAGGCAATTCCCGTTTAAGCGTCTTTAAATGTATTTGATGGACTTGCGTGATAAGGCCAAACACAGGCCACGCTTTTTCCTAATGGAACGCCTCGTTAAAGGCACTTCGATTTAATTAGAGACTGGATTGCTTGCCATGAGAGCTGATGCGAAAGTGGATAAGGACAAATCCCTCTCCTCCCATTCCAATGAGAAGTGGGTTGCCGGTACTGTGCGTACTATGGGAATCAATGACGACATGAAACATTGATTATGATAATGTTAATATTGTAAATGTTCGCGGAGGTATACAATAGCGTAAAGCGAAGACGGAAAAGAGGCGAATTTGTATTAACTTTAGTAAGCAAAGATAATGGCTGATGACAATTGATAAACGTTTTTGACATTTAAAGTTGACCGTTGTTACCTTATGTCATTGACATAATGCTAAATACAACAACAACAATAACAGCAGCAGTTGTGGCTTGCTTTGTGTCGCTGTTATGGACATTAGTGCGCATGTAACGGCCCTTGTGTATATCCACTGCTGGATGAGGGCCTCACCATGCCGTGCAGGTAAAGGATGAAGGGGGGGGGGGCGTTATTTGACCACGGGGTTGTTGAAGCTGGGGATCGTAGATATTGGAGCATTGTACAGTACAACAGTGGATTTTTGCTGAACTGCCCTCTGTTGACAATGCAACAGCAGCAGCAGCCTACAAAATTTGCTTTATTCACAATGTGTTTTCCCAACCAAGCACTGACCTGCTCAAACCCTAATTAGCTTCTGTGATCTGAGGAAACCGAGTGAATGTCAGGTCATTTGGTCATAGGCGTAATAGTGTAACCGAGGTTAATTCACTGCCACGCGAAAAATAATGGTAGCATTTGTCATCTTCCGTTTAAATGAACTCCATTAATTTGTGAGCGCGTGCACACACATGCACACACTCACGGATGCATTTGTATTTCGTGTCTCTCCAGAATTATCCATCAATCAGGTTACTCCGTTGAAGAATGCATGGAGTTCATTGCCATCATCTACAGCAACACTTTGCAGTCCATCCTGGCTATTGTGCGAGCGATGGGGACCCTGAGCATAGACTTCGGGGACACAGCACGAATGGTTAGTATCATTTTGATTCGAGTGTCGGTTGTTTCGTATGTCCATAAGACGGTACTTTCTACGACCTTTTTTTCTTTCCCCCAGTCGTCGTTCTCAATTTCATTGCAGTTCTACCGTCCATTCTGAACTCTCGCGGAGCGTTTCTTCTTGTTAGAGAAAGAGCCCGTGGAAGGTGATATTACAGAGCGACTTCTGAGATCCCTTAAAGTGATATTGTATCTGCACCAAAGGTGCTGTACTTTCTCACACGCATCACATGACAATGAATTGCTATTTTTTAATTCTCAGAATTTTTTTCCGTAACATTTTAAGTCTAAAAGCTAGTTTAATATTATGGGTTTTTTTTGTGTGCATTCATTGGTGTCCTGGCTGAGACCAACCATCAGCTCACCAGACTTGAGCTCCCATTTTAATCCCAGTTCCCAAAGAAACCCAGACAGACATACAAATGCACGATCTTAGGCAGTGCCAGCTCAGCGACGCTCTGACCTCTTGAGTCACTTGGCCACCCGTGTCCAGAGGTTATCGAACGCAAGGTCACACATGCCAGAGCACAAACCACTGTGTGACGAGTCAGGTTCGTTCCGTCACAGTCACCAGCGTTGGCACCGACGTCGGTGCACGGTGAGAGATGCCAGGTCGCACGGTGTGAAAAGCAAGCCAGAAGTCACCCGTAATGGGATTTGCTCTCGCAGACTCATATTTTGGGAATTCATCTGACCGCCACGTCCCACTTGAAGTGTATGTCAAAGTGCCAAGACAAGTAGAATTCCAGGTAATCACTGAGCAGTCTGTTCGTAGCATTTAAGCTTTGGAATGGCAAAAGCTTTGCCTGACCGAGTAGGATTTTGCAGACAGGAAGCATGTGTTTGTGAGCTTAACTCGGTGCTGTGTTATAGTGACGCAGTGGCAGAGGTCGGTGTGCGTGCAGTGTTCGCACAAGCAGCAAGAAAGTTATGGAACGGTTTTCCATTAACAATTCAGGCATTGCCATTTTCTGATTTGAAAAAAATAAATGCACACAAAGGCACTTGTTACAAGAAACTGCATTTAAGCTATGAATTGAACGATTCATAAATGTTTGTTTCCATGGGGAAGAAAATGCAGAGAATGTCACAGTATATTCATTTCCGTTATTGAATTTTCCTATTTTATCAATGCCTCATCTGTACTTTGAGAAAATTACGTGTAATGATAAAGTATGATGCTGATCAATGGTGATGCCAATTATGGCAATGCCAATGCTGGCTGCTGATGATGATGAATGTGCTATTGCTGATAACGCTGATGATGAAGACGACAATGATGCTGCTGCTACTGCTGATGATGACCTGCTGCTGCTGCTGATTCCGTTGCTCTTGCCGCTCTTGACGATGGTGACGATGATGTCAATAATGATGTAAAATGACTGCAACTGACAGAGCATCATCCTGTGAATGAGCCTTGATGCTTCTTCACGCGTCGTCTGCTGAAGATCAGCCGAGTTACCACGTCACCCGAATGCCCGCGACTTTGTACGTAACGTGCACGTTACGTACAAAGGCAAAGAATCCCCCCCCATATAGCCTTAAGAGACTGTTGGGGCAAGTGCTTTTAGCGAGCACCTATTAAGGCCGACACGGCACACGAGTGGCTGGGTGGATATCACATTTTGTCTCTTCTTGGTTCTTTCGGTAAAGTCACGTAGAATGGAAATAATAAAATAATAAAAAAGAATAGAAATAATAAAGTAATAAAAATGTTTTTTTCCCATTCTACGTGACTTTACCGAAAGAACAAAGAAGATGAATCCCTGCAGTCACGAAAGCTTTAAATCGAAACCTTTTGTCTCCTTTGTCTCCCGTCGTGGCAATGTTCTTACATATCGCACCAGGTACTCAATTGAGACTGAGTCAACCTAGGGGAGGCCCAGGACCGATTCAGATAATCGTCACTGGCTATCACCGTGACGGGTTCGTAGTGCAGCGCGCGAACCACTACGCCATTCAAACAAAGGCAAAGATCCCCCGTATCGCCTTAACAGACTGTAGGGGCAAGTTCTGTTAGCAAGCACCTATGAAGGACGGCACGGCACACACGGGGGTTGGTGGCCAACACCACGCCCGGCCGCCTTTGTCTCCCCAGCGGCGACGTTTACCACACATCGCACCGGGTACTCATTTGAGGCTGAGTCAACCTAGGGGAGGCCCAGGACCGGTACAGATAATCGTCACTGGGTGTGGGCCGTGGGCGGGAATCGAACCCGCGTCGCCAGGTTCGTAGCGCCAGCGCAGCGCTAACCGCTGCACCACCGCTCCCTGCGGCACGCGCGCGCGCGCGTTGTTCTGCGTGCAGGACGACGCCAGGCAGCTGCAGAACCTGGCGGATTCGATCGACGAGGGCACGATGCCACAGGAGGTCTACCTCATCATCAAGCGCCTGTGGACAGACTCGGGGATCCAGGTGTGCTTCGACCGCGCCTCCGAGTACCAGCTCAACGACTCCGCCGAATAGTGAGTGCCAGTCAACCCTCTCTTGCCTTGATGCGTAACTCGTCACGACGACCGTCCACCAAACCTCCGATGAGCAACGCTTGGCTACGAACGGTTGCGGACGGAGTTTTCGACGCGCATACGTTCGTCATCGTCACTTACGGCATTCTCCAGACTATCAGATACTCAGATATTTTTTTTTGGGGGGGGGGGGGGGGATCGTTTTGGTGCGTCGCCTTTCATTTCCCATCGACGAAAGAGATGTGCGAATCAACAGGCCGACGCGCACACCCCCTTCACGAATGTACGTTTAAAGGCGAGCCACAGTCGTGCGATTTTGGCCACGCAACCCAAACTTTGGACTTCTGAGACGCGGTCCTCTCAGGCGACGTTCGCCTCGTTTTGGCTGCCACTGCCGTCACCAGTCTCGTCCCCTTACAGCCACTGATGTTCAGAAGAAGTTCAGAAGTTATTCCCCACCGAGTAAAGCCCATTGAAATTTGCCGACAATATCAAAGCATTCCACAATTACAGATTTAAAAAGAAAATAGCAATCACGTCGTAAAATTATATTCGCACTTGAAATGTTGTGATTTTTAAGAGAGCCTGTTTAAATTTCGATTTAAAGCTTTTGTGACTGCAGGGATTCATCTTCTTAGTTCTTTCGGTAAAGTCACGTAGAAGGGAAGTAATAAAACATAATAAAATAATTCTCACGACGTTTCGGCCACAACGCAAGCAGCCGTCCTCAGGTGAAGACCAGGTCTGTCGGGGAAACAGCGTCTGAATGAAACACCACCACGCTTGGAAGCTCTCTTCACCTGAGGACGGCTGCTTGCGTTGTGGCCGAAACGTCGTGAGAATTATTTTATTATATTTTATTATTTTATTACTTCCCTTCTACGTGACTTTACCGAAAGAACCAAGAAGATAAGCCTGTTTAAATGAGGACAGAGATGGCAGAACGGAGACGTGTCCTGCTGAAGCCCGTGCCACGTCTCTAAGGTCGGTGCTGTGCGTGCTCCTGCTGCGCAGTTACCTGAACGACATCGACCGCCTGGTGCAGCAAGGGTACCTCCCCACCGAGCAGGACGTCCTGCGGTCCCGAGTCAAAACGACCGGTATCATCGAGACGCAGTTCAGCTTCAAGGACCTGCACTTCAGGTGCAGCACGGGCCGACCTGTCTGGGTTTAATCAGGGTCGCACTTTATCTTTCCATGACACGTCGCGTTTAATAAAAAAAAAATGTAACTCAGAGTTGGCAAACCCCAATGGGCCAGCCGAGTCTGTGTGGCACTTTTTTTTTTCTTGGACCGGCAACTTTGCTGTCGAATGTTACGGACGGTGCGACCGCAGTGGTGCCAGGGGTGCGGGCACTGAGCTATGAAAGGGACGGGGAATTGGACAGGGGGCCCCATTTCAATCGTTGCTGCTGCTGCCATCGTGAACTGCTAAGGCTGTACGACACCTGACAAAGTTGGTCAAGGAGAGTCGAGACGCCAGTGGCTGAATGAGGGCACAGGCATTATAGCTATTAGATTGAATACGGCAGTTTATTCGTGGGAATCCTTTTAAAATGGCTTTTAAAATATCAAGAATTTGTCCGCATGAAAAGAGACCAACCGGCATTCTCCGTAATTTGGTCACCTTTCTTGATCAACCCAATGCACATATCGCACACCTTCGACCTCGAGTTTGACCTCTCGGGGCTATAGTAAGCCAAATTAAGTTATAATACCAGATGTACTTTGCTATTTTTGTACAGACATTGGTGACTAAGCCGAGACCTTCAATGCACTACGGTTGAGCATCCGGTTTAATCATGGGTGGTGGTTACCCATCAAACCCAGGATCTGAGCACTGCCAGCTATTACCCCTCCGAGTCACCCAGCCAACCTCCTTTGTGATCAATATCTCTGGATTTTTGTATATATTACAACAACAAAAAACTTCAACTGGCAATAATAGTTTCCATAATATCAAATTTTTAAAAAAATCCCTGCAGATAGAACAAATTTAAATTGCGCCAGCACAAAATTTTTAAATGTTTGCTTTACTTCCTGAAAACTTTGTTCGCGTAGACAAGGTACAGACTGCGTATACCAAATTACGGATTCCTGCAGTCACGAAAGCTTCAAATCAAGATCAAATTACGGCTTTCTAATTATGTAGTGGGATTCTGCGTTCCGCCACGTGCTCCTCCGTGAATGTGTGTGTGTTCGTGCGCGAGTGGTCTCAGCAGTGGCGAGCGGCAGTGTAGTGGTTAGCGCGCTGCACTACGAACCCGGCCACCCGAGTTCCATTCCCGCTCATGGCCAACACCGGTGACGATTATCTAAACCGGCCCAGGGCCTCTCCTAGGTCGCCTCAGCCACAAATGAGTACCTGGTGCAGTGTGTGAACATCAGCATTAGGGGCGACAGAGGCAGCTGGGTATGGTGTGGATGGCTTTTAATTGGTGCTCGCTAACGGCAGTTGCCCCGACAGCTTTTGCGGAAACTTTGTCTTTGCGAGTCGCCTCGGCCACAGTTTCCCGAGGCTTTGAACTGTTGTTTACAGTCATTGGTTTAGCTTGCCGCACCTGCGTTTAGCACGGTTGGCTACGTATGGTGCAAAAGAAATTCAACATACATACTTCTATACAACGAACTGATTCAGCAAGTTGCTCTGGTTTGGCTCCAGTTTTCACTTTTTGTCAAGTGCATAGTGCATTCCTAGTCTGAGCTGGCATTCCTCCCAATGTGCCAGCTCCACCTTGCCCTGGCAAGGTCTTGCTACAATCAACAAATAAATGTCAGGCATTAAAAGCGATGATTAGTAAGCACACCAAGGATGCAAGCCATGGAAATATAATTGTTCTCTTGTCTGCAAAAAGAGTATTCGTATGTGTTGATGAATTGGTTTCTGACTTGTGTTTTAAAGCATGCCATTTTCAAGGACAAATATGGTGTTATTCTCACTGTATTACAGTATATACAAAAAAGCGTTTCCTCTCAATGAGGGAATCTGTCGAGGATATCACAGCTAAAGTTTGTACAACCGCACAACAGATTCACACGGAGATGCGAAATAAAACCCAAAAGAAAGTTTCAACAAAATTCATAAATGCGTACCGACAATAACAACACAGGGACAAAGCAGAGAAATGAACGAACCAATGTACTACTGCATGACAACGAGAACCTTATGGCATCACTCATCATCAATGCTCGAACAGAGATCGATCACTGCTCGATCAAGTAGACACACGTATTCAAAATGTCATCGCTTGATGTTCACGAGCGATGCGGTGGAAGCGCGGAGCTGCCATATCCTCCGCAGAAAAAAGCGGTTGGTTGTTGCGCACAGGATGTTTGACGTGGGAGGTCAGCGGTCGGAGCGGAAGAAGTGGATCCACTGCTTCGAGGGCGTCACCTGCATCATCTTCTGCGCCGCCCTCAGCGCGTATGACATGGTGCTGGTGGAGGACGACGAAGTGGTGAGTTTGAACCGCCACGGCAAATACTCACCGACGAGACCCCGCACACTGTAACAGGGCATGATGAATTCGTGGTAGAATTCATGATAAATTATGTCAATTGTCAGGCCTGTATATGGAGTGATTGGGGTTTTTGCCCAAATGCGTTTTTATTCGGGGTGTGTTCTGCTTGCCGTAATACGGATTACTGGAATGGGAATCGTCAGAAACGAAAGCGATGATTCAGCAACACAACGATCAAAAGCTCAATCAATGATCAATCATAGCTCGATCACTACTAGTTCACTGCTCACATGTGTAGACACAAGTATTCATAATGTCACAGCTGAATCACTCCTCGATCACATAGACACGCGTATTTAAAATGCCTTAGCTCGATCACTGCTGGATCACTGCTCAATCACATAGATACACAGATTCTTTACGTCCTGTTGCGGCGCCGCTTCCGCTGCCTCACCCAGCCACGTAAGCCCCCGGCGCTCGAAAGGGAGAGAGGGGTTCAGAATCTACGTTGCCGTAATGCACGCCAGCCATCAGCTGGAGCCGTTCGCACCCTGTGTCAGAGGTCGCAATCGGGTACCCGATACCCGTACCCTACCCGATACCCGGCTACCCGTACCCGTACCCAGGTAGCCGGGTACTCGTTTGCGACCCTGGTGCGGCCGGGTACGGGTACGGGTAGGCCGTGAGTCACTGGTGAGTAACTGTTTGTCACTCATTTCCCAACGTCTTGTCTCTTCTCACAATTCAAGTCCCTAGAATCAACCCACATGCGCCTGCAACATGGCTTCATCCCAGAGGTCGCAATCAGGTACCCGATACCCGTACCCGGCCGGGTACGGGTGTAGGATACGGGTACGGCCGGGTACGGGTACCCGTTTGCGACTCTGGTGCGGCCGGGTACGGGTAAGGAATCAAAACCCGTTTGCGACCTCTGCCCCGTGTGCAACACTGCGGTCCCAATTAGGCCGCGTGTCTATTTTTGCGCTCGTGCTTCTTGCGCGTGGCTGATGTGGACGCAGAACAACAACAACAGTTTCACATGCAGGCGGTCAAGCCAGACGGCCGCGTCAGGAGCAGCGGAGTGCGTCGCTGCGATGTCTCCTCCGTATTTGTGGCTCGGTCATTGCGTCGTTACATGCTGTACGGTCTGTTCTGGATGACCACAGTCGCACGCCGGAGAGTTTAACATTTTCCACTTGTGCATCAGGTATCCGCATCTGCCACGGTTTTGTGCAGTGGATGCGGTTTATTGCGGACCGCACTGAACGTGTCCCACGGTTTTTTCATGGAGCGTGCTTGGCAATGACATTAAGCAACCCAGCAGCAAGTCCCTAAAGGTGGTTGGGCCACAATGTATTATTTGTACGTGGAGAGATGGGTGGAAACATATTTATTTAATTTGTTACCAACAAAGCACCACTGAAAGTGCATACGTGATATTTTTTCAATACAGTACGGCTTTTATTTGTGAACACAGCTCCATCGTGAAGGTGGAGTGCACCTGCCAATAACACCTGGCAAGCCAGCAGCAGCAGCAGCAGTAGTTTAACAGGTCTGACTCTGCAGACGAGGCCCTGAAGGTTAAAAGAGGTTCAGAATTTTCCTTGAAAAAGAAAGCAGTTGAAAAACATTGGTGTGGAAGAGCCGTAGGCTGATGGGTAAACAAAATATTTTACAAGGAAAAGCGGACATCCTGTCTCTTCATAATATATTTGACAATAACTTCCCATCTGTTCGTGATATATATATACACGTTAAACCTTTGACGAAATGCCACACCAGCAGGGTGGGAGGAGATGAAAATTGTGCGATAAAAAATGGTGCCGTTATCTTCATCAAAAATGTAAATAGATATTTGTTGTCGTCCTGTTGCGTATAAATAATTTAGAAAATCTAACTCACGCATGCGCATGCACCGGTACGGATGCAGAGACACACAAATGCACGAACGCACATCGATTTTCCTAGGCAATGCATAATGAACTGCGGCTGATGCTAAACCTGACAATTCCTCATCAGCTACTGCTGCAACAAAACAACAAATACCTTACAGTGATCTCATGAATAACACCATTAGCCAAAACGTCAGCTTCAATTCCGCAGTATTTGTTTTCTGGATGATCGTATTAAAATCCCGGTTTAAAAAAAAAAAACCAGTGGAAATAATAAAAAATAATAATCATCACTCCTTTTCCCCAAGACGTCACAAACACTGAAACATGATTTCCTCCATAGGCCAAGAGATTCTCATAATAATGCTCGATGTAAACAGGATTTCATGAGAATTGATCTCGAAAGGAGTTTGTGCCACTTGAGTGCATTTGACGTCATTCTACGTCAGTCTTAAGTCATTAAAAAAAACATGTCTCCTGAAATAATGTGAATGAATTCGTAGAACAATCCTCTATGCACTCAAACTGTCTGAAAACGTCGCGTTCTTCAGCTCACCGTAATGCATTCATCCACAGTGATAGCTATTGGGGAACTGCAGTTCTCTTAAAAGCGTAACGCACTCGACCTGGGCACATGTTTAACTCTTAAAACAAGTGTGAACATCAGGTTTTTCGAAAGCACAAGGGCTCTATGCTGTGCTCGACAGGACTGCTGGCTTTCCCCCACATGCGAAGCGCAGCTTAAACATTCGGTCGCATAAATATTACAATCAGAATACGTTTACAGCGCATTGTCAATCAACTGCTGGATGAATGCCCCCCACACAGCATGTCAGTCGGACGTTTGGCCATACTTCACCAGGCTGGTCAGTGTGGGTTGGTGAAGTTCAGGTGGTGGGAGGGGGGGGGGGTTCAGGGTCTAGGACTCTTTCAAATATAATTTGCCACTAACGTTAGCCACGATTGAAAATCAAACTCAGGTCAACGGGTTCGTAGCGCAGCGTGCTAACCAATGCGTCGTTGCTCCACCAAAGCATTCAGTGTACGCACAGCCATGTAACATATAGGATTAATACTGCACGTGAATGAGACAGCTTGCATTGTATGCTACCTTGTGGTAATCTCGCTTTGTATTAAAAGCAGCATGAAGCATGCACGTTGAACTTCTGTCGCACCGTACGTAGCCAACCGTGCTAATCGGAGGTGCGGTGGAAGGACAACAAACTAACCACGAGAGCATGTTCTATAGAGAAATGAGATTCCAATCAAAGGTTTAAGAGCGACTTTGAAATCATTCGAACCTTCCAAACGGCGCGCCCTCTCTGAGCGAGGAAAATTGCCGCGGCATTTCTGATGAGTTCGGTTTGTGCCGCGATTGCCTCTTCCAGCTCGTTCGGTTTGTGGAATAAACGGAAGGGAAAATAACAACGACGTATAATGCCGTCCCTCAGGTGCCTCCTAACGCTCCGTGGAATATGCAGTTCGAGCCCGGCGCTTGGCAGTCTGAGCTGGCGCCCGTCTTGCGTTTCGTTGAAATGTCGATGCTGTTGTTGCAAGCGACTGTTTGGCACGACATCGACGCGTTGACGGCGGCATCACCGATTGCAATTCTCCTAACCGTTCCCGCTGCCCCCATCCGGCCGCGTAGGTGAGCACGTGCGCCTTCCTAAAAGGTGGAAAATCGATGGGTATTTTTAGCCGGATGCGTTAGCGCGCGGCCCTTCCGTCGTGTCGCATATTTACTCTCATTTCAACCAGGCCAGCAGAGCCCAATGTGGCACCCGCGTGAGCTCAGCACAAAGAGCACGTGAACGTTGCTTGCGATACCCCAGTTTTTTTGCAAACTAATTTCTTAGATACATCAACGATTTTTTTTCGTACTGACTTTTGCGTTTAAGTTTGTTGTCATTTTGCCCACGCCTCCGATTAGTACGGTTGGCTATGTACGGTGTGAAAGAAGTTCGCACCGTACGTAGCCAACATTTGCAGACCGAAGGCATGAGAAACATTTTAGATTTGTGTTTCCTTCTTTTCATTTCACTTTTTGTATTGAGAAGAGATGGTCTGGAAGAGTCCTCTTTTCATCATTCTCTTTGCTCGTGAACTTTTTTGTTGTTTTCATTTATTTTTACAATATTATTCAATTGTTGCCCCGTCACGAGATGAAGTATCCGTTTGGATATTTCTTCATAGCACTTTAGATAACATACCGCAGAGAAAAAGGTGTCACAGGACCACTTCTGACATTTCTTTCAAGTGACCTCTAATCCACACTGAAGATCACTACACTGCCCCGTGTGCCTAGCTGTAGAAATCTTCAACACAGCGCTCCGATTGATTTTTTAAAATATATTTTGGAAGCTGAAAGTTAGCCACATTACGTGAAAACTACATTAAATACTGTTGTTTTTGTGCAAAGCTGAGATCGTGGGATGCTAAACTTGAATATCCATTTTAAATAAACCAGTGACGGAAACCCACATTTGAACCTGGGGGATCTCAGTGGTGCTGGCTCATTGCTCTGATCCCTGAGCCACTTATTGTTTGTTTTACTGTATTTACTGTAATTCAAAAGCAAGTTTGTGTCTACACATGTGGAGGACACATTTTTTCATGTCAGCATACAGCAGCCGTCAGTGGGTGGTATCTGTGGTGTGCGTTTCCCTCCAGAGCCAATGCACTCTAAAATGAATGTGCCTGCTCGAAAGGTGACCGGGCAGTTCCGGTATCAGAGCACTGCGCATTCACCGCTGAGAGCCTGGGTTCGAGTCCAGGTTTGAGCTGTCTGTGATTTGACTGGATTCTCAATGGGGAGCAAGTTGTTGATCTCAACCAAAGCCGCCGGTGACAGCACAAAAAACAAAACCATCACAATGAGTTTGGCTTTTTTATCACTTAATTTGGCTGAATTCCATCTCTGAGAATTAAATATATTTGTTTTTCGATTTAAAGTATTCGTGACTGCAGGGATTCATCTTCTTGGTTCTTTCGGTAAAGTCACGTAGAAGGGAAGTAATAAAATAATAAAAATAAAACATAATAAAATAAAATAATTCTCACGACGTTTCGGCTACAACGCAAGCAGCCGTCTTCAGGTGAAGAATG